GGGCCCCACATCCCTACTGAGGTTGCCAGGAAGCCTGGCTCTGCCCTGGGAGCAAGGGGCACCAGAATAGCAGCCACTACCAGGTGGTCCTCTGAGATACCAGGGGAGAGAGTATGGGACATGCAGGGGGCAGCTGGGAGCCTCAGAAGGGCCCGTCTGGGCCTCTGTGCTCCCTGCACACCAGGGGGTGGGCACCTACCGGGAGGTGCTGGCAGCTGAGATGAGCGACAGCAGGCAGGCCAGCAGCAGGCAGATGGGCCCCGAAGCCTGCTTGGCCAGCTCCACAAGGATGCTGGCCTCCACGCCCTCTGACTGCCAGTGGCTCAGCCGCACGGGACCCTCGTCGAACTGGTCACTTCGGAAGAGCACCTCACTGCGTGCCACAGTGTCAAAGACAGCAGCCAGGCCCCCAGCACTGGCCGTGGCATCCCCAGCCTGGTGGTCAGGCAGAGCTGCAGGTGGGTGCAGCTGGGACAGCAGCACCTTGCGCTGATCATAGAAGATGAGCATGACCTGGTCCTGGCCAGGGGCACCCAGGGAGGCGGGCACCTGCCGGTGGGTGGCCTTGCAGCTCCAGAACTTGCTGCCCCTCTCCCGGCACAGCTGCAGCCAGGGCTCGTGGGAGAAGATGGCACCCAGGCCCTCTAGGAAGTGGCCTAGGCTCTCCTCGGACTCCTGCCGGCGGTGGCACCAGGTGCCCAGCACGGCCACACCTACCCGGCTGGCCTGCTGCACCTGGGCCAGGAGCTCCTTGACCTGGATCGGGATGAAGGGAAAGTGCACCACAGCCAGGACCACAGCGCTGCTCTGCTCCGGGACCCACCGTCCAACCAGCAGGCCGCTGTCCGCTGAGGCGCAGCATGTGGGGAAGAAGGCCTTGAGCACCATGCTGGGAATGCTGGAAGAGACGGGAGAGGCTCAGCTCAGAACTGATGACCCCTGCGTGGCTGGCAGTGCTGTCGCTGCAGGCCGTGAGCCACGGTGTCACAGACTGCCCTGAAGGACACATCTACGTGGCCACAGGACCCGTGGACCGGGGCGACCCCGCTCTGGGTTTGGTCGCAGAGGCTGGTGGGGGCTCCCTGCTGTCCGTCTCCCTCGGGTACTGCCCCTACCTCCACCCTGGGTTGCTGTGAGTGCAGGCCCAGCCCGGAGTGCCCCTGTCCCCACCCCAAGGCAGGTCAACACACTCCCTCATTTCAGAGACAAGCAGGCTGAAGCAGGGCGAGGTTCTACAACCTGCTCAGGACCACTCACAGGGTGTGCGGGCACACAAAGGTTTTGTTTCTGTTTTTGAGGAACCTGATTAGGGCTTTTTATGCGTTGCACATGGGAAAACGTACAATCTCATTAACAATTAAACTAATACAAACTCAAACTCTAACGAAACTTGATTTACTTACTAAGTGAGCAAGAATAAAATGAAAATTTAAACAAATTGCTGCTGTCCAAGGGAAGCCAGGCGCGTGCACACTGCCAGCGGCCCTGGGAACTGGTGCAGGTGCCCCGAGCCCACCCCTGCCCAGTGAGGCCCCAGAGGAGCCTCGGCGCTCGGGGAGCAGGCTTAGGCTCGGCTCTCGGTGCTCAGGGGGCTTCTTCCTCTCTTGACCCTCCAGGCCTCTGGCCTCTGGCCTGCCCACCCTTCCCAGGAGGAGTCCTTGCACCTGCCACTTCAGGGCAGGGCTCCGAGCAAGGGAGTGTCCTCTTGTCACAGCTGAGCGCCTCCTTCGGGAGCATCCCTCCCACCGGGGAGTCATCTAGAAATGGGGCAGGAAGTCCGCCAGCCCTGGAGAATGGGGAGATCCCGCAGGCTAAGGGGACACCGGCCTTCTGGCCTCTCCCAACCTTCACAAGGCCTCTGAGCAGCAGGCACAGCCCCAAGCGGCCGTGATTCCTGAATTCTGTGGGACCTGAGCCTTGGCTTGTCCAGAAGTAAGCTCACTGGGGATGTGGGGTTCTCAGCTAGCACCTCACTCCTCCCCAAGTCCCCCAAGATGGGGCCTGATGGGCAGCAGGGTGCTGAGGGGATTCGCCTGGGGGCATGCCTTTCTCAGACACTGCCTGCCCCCACCTCGGCACAAAGGGCAGAGTGGCCGCCCTGAGCTAAGACCCCCAAGTGAGAGCCCACACCTGAGGGTGGGATACAGGCCTCAGACTGAGCCTGGGCCTCCAGCGCCCCTTTGCTCCCAGGCCCTCGGCACAGCTGGGACAGGGCGGCGTTGTGAAAGGTGCAGGGACCCCCTTCCTGAGTGTCAGGGGGCTCTGGGAGGGGTTCATAAACACTCACGGCTTAAGAGGCCACTGGGGCAGCTGCCTTCCCCCACTGCAGTAGCCCATCTACAGCAGCCCAGACCCGGCCTAGGGGTCGAGGCCTCTCAGGCCAGCTTGTTAAAGGGACCTCTCACAGCTGTGGATTCCAAGTGAAAAGGATCCCTCTGAGTCGAGCAGCAGTAGGACTCCCAAATGCCCCGCCCCCCCAGTGACCATGGAGGGCAAGCAACAGCGGGCACTGGCAGGGGAAGGCCCAGAGCCCGACGGCAGCACATGCCAAATCCCTGTGGCCACCACCAAGGGCATCAAGGGCCAACTTGTCTTCCTGACCCTCTGCAGGGACTGCCCCCTGGACAGGGCAATTGTGCCTGTGAGGGCCGTGGCATGGCTGGCTTGGTAACCACCATGGGGGACCAGCTGGCACGGTCCAAGCCTCTCAGTCCAGCCTGTCGGGACCAGCACAGCCCACCGACACCATCACACTCTGCCTGGGGCCTCCTTTCACAGGAGCTAAGGAAAATGGCTCACCGCTCCTGTCGGAAAAGAACACGACTGGCTGAGAGTGAACAGACGCCCTCGGGAGCCGCTCACACGGTGCGTTCGCTTTGGGAAAGCTCGTCGAGCTGCACACAGGTGATTTGTGCGCCTTCTCTGTGTGTATTACACTTCTTCTACAAAGTTTACCTAAAAAATTAAAAAGCAGCGGTTCTTCACGTCTAAGGAAGAAGAGCGGAGGGCAGAAGTTGATGTTCTTCTTGTCCGTGGGGTAGTGAGAGAGAACTCAACAAATCACAGGCCAAACCCCCAGCCCCACTCCCACCTCTGCCTCCGGGAGCAACCGACACAAAGAAGGCTGCTCAGATCAGACAGGCAGGGGAAGATGAAAGAGCAGGTGGTCGATAGCAGGGGGCAGGCAGGAAAGCGGGGCAGTGACTTGGACAACATGCGCGTCTTCAAAGGCTGTGATGCCCAACAGGGCATGTGCCTGGACAGCCTCCTCTGTTAAGAACAGCCCCTTTCCAGAAGGGCCAGGCCCTGCCTGGACAGGCGGGATCCTCCCTGGACCAGCCAGGTCCTCCTCAGACGGGTCAGGTACCCGGGTCTCTGGGATGCCCCTCCCCACAGACCCTGAGGTCGAGTGGACCTCAGGAAGTGGAGGCTGTACTCCCCTCCCCTCCCGGCATGGCTGACTCTGAAGTCACAGGGCCGGGGACTTCCCCATTACTGCTCCTCCAGAGCTCAGAGACACCTGTCACTCCATGCCCCTTGTGTTTCAGAGAGGACAGGGACAACTGTCTTGCAGTGGGTGACAGTGCTTGTCCCTCCATTTCAGGAGAACGGAGGTGATCAGGGCTCTGTCTTTCCTCCCCTCTGCAGTCAGGCACAACTGTAAATCGCGGGCTGCAGCTCCATCCCCCTGATGTCCTTTCACAGGCCCTGCCTGGTGGGTGGGTCAGGGGGAGCACATGAGCCCCTTGCACGCCCGGGAGGTGGGGACCGGACCCCTAGGAGCACGGTGCTGCCACGGGTCCTGTGGCCTCCCTGGGCTGGGATGTCCTCCGCGGAGGGACGGCTCCCCGGGAGAGGCGGGGGATGGGCCCGGGGGGACAGGCTGCAGGGAGGAACGGGCCCCAGGGAAGGGGGCATGGGGGCGGACAGGCTCCGCGGGGGAAGGGGACGGAGGACGGCTCCGGGAGGGACTGGCTCTGGGAGGGACGGGCCCCGGGGGCCACCCGCCAGCTCAGCCGCCACCGCAGGGCTCCGCCCTCCGCGAGCGCTCACCGGCTGCCGCCCAGGGCCACGCGCGCCAGCGGGATCGGGACGGGGCTGCGGCCGGCGTCGGGCGGGCGGGGCAGACGGCAGCACTCGCGGCCCCCACCCCGCCGCGGCCGCTCCGCGGGACGCAAGCCCCATTTCCGCCGGCGCCGGCGTTGCCGCGCGACGGTCCAGTCCCAAAGGTCCCCGAGCTGCCGCCGGCCCTGCCCGAACGTTCCGGGTGCGCAACGTTCCCGCTCTGGAGCAGGCGGCCCGGGCGCAGCAGCGTCCTGTCCCCTAGCCTCTTTGTGCCCCCTCAGCATCCTTGTTCCCTCAGCATCCTTGTTCCCCCTCGCTGTCCCTGTCCCTTCAGCATCCTTGTCCCCCTCAGCGTCCTTGTCCCCTCAGCGTCCTTGTCCCTCTCAGCGTCCTTGTCCTCCTCAGCGTCCTTGTCCCCTCAGCATCCTTGTACCCCCCTCAGCACCCTTGTCCCCTCAGTGTCCTTGTCACCCCCAGCATCCTTGTCCCCTCAGTGTCCTTGTCCCCCCAGCATCCTTGTCCCCTCAGCATCCTTGTCCCCCCTCAGCATCCTTGTCCCCTCAGTGTCCTTGTCCCCCCAGCATCCTTGTCCCCTCAGCATCCTTGTCCCCCCTCAGCATCCTTGTCCCCTCAGTGTCCTTGTCCCCCCAGCGTCCTTGTCCCCTCAGCATCCTTGTCCCCTCAGCATCCTTGTCCCCCCTCAGCATCCTTGTCCCCTCAGCGTCCTTGTCCCCTCAGCGTCCTTGTCCCCTCAGCATCCTTGTCCCCCCTCAGCATCCTTGTCCCCTCAGCGTCCTTGTCCCCCCTCAGCATCTTTGTCCCCTCAGCGTCCTTGTCCCCTCCAGCTTCCTTATCTCCCCTCCAGTCCACTCACAGCGTCCCCCACACCCTTGCCCCATAGTCCCCCCTCCCTGCTTTCATCCTCTGAGGGGCAGTGACTGGGCTCTTGAGGGTCCCGTCCCCAGGCTGCCTCCATGCTCTCAGAGTGATGGCCCCCAGGTCCTGCGTGGGACTCCGAGGTGCCAGCCCCCAGCTCCAGGCCGGCCCCCTCGCACGCCAGCCTCTGCAGAGCGGCACCCCCAGGGTCCCAGGGCCAGATGGGCTGGGCTGGGCTGGGAGGGCAGCCCGAAGGTGCGGCCGTCTGATCTGACCGTCAGGAGGTGTCAGGAACGACGCCTTGATGCCAGCAGTAACGGCTAGCCTTTATTGAGTGCCTACTGCACACACTTCCTTACACCGACCCATTTCACACCACCCGCAGGGCCAGGACACATGGCAGGGATGTGTGAGAGGCGGTGGCCTGGACACAGGCCCCCATGTCCTGCTGATGGTCAGAGCATCCCCTCCCCCAGGACCTCTCCTGGGACTCAGCGTGGCCGCGCTCCCCACCTGTCCCGCTCCTCCAGCAGGGGCTCCATCCTCGTAGGAGCCTCTCCTGGACCCACCGGAGCCCTCGGCCCCCCGGGAGCACCAAGCCGCTGCATCCTGGGTGGCAGAGGAGGAAACGAAGGCCCAGCCGCGAGATACCCACTCAGGAGGAGCAGACACGGAGGCCCCAATTTGGCCATGAGCCCCCAGCGCCCTTCTCTGCCTCCCCTTACCTCGCTGGGCCCAGGGACGCTGCAGGAGGCCGGGCACTGGGGGTGCCTGCGTGAATGAGGACAGTGAGGGCCACGCCCCGCCGCACCCTCCGCCTGTGTCTGTCTGATTAGGGGCCTCGCTGGGCGGGAGATGCTCCTGGGCAAGTGCTGGCGGCCAGCCCACCACGCCCAAGATCCCCGGGCTCCAGCTGGCCAGACCCTGGGCCTCCTGGGCCCGGAGCCAGCAGGGCCAGGCCTGAGTGGACACGGGGTAGTGAGCAACGGACCACTGAACTGGTCACAGGGGAGTCGGGGGCAGTGGGTTCGTGGCTGCTGATGACGTCAGGAACGCTGCACGTAGGAGACAAGAGGCCAGCCTGGCCGGACCCAGCAGGTGTCACAAATGAGCAGGGTCAGGAAGGCACGGCCAGCAGCCCTGCCAGACCCCACCAGCCCTGACTGTTCCTCCATGGTGGCCCAGGACCCACCGGGTCAGGCTGGCTCCAAGTGGTACTGGTACACCTTGATGTAGCCGTCCCCTGCGTCTGCCACTACGAGCTGGCCCTGGGGTGCACAGGCCACACCCAGGGGCCTTCTCAGCCCCTCGGACACCAGGCAGATGGGCGCCCCGGCTCGGGGGAACAGGGTCACCTGGCGCCGCTGCTCATCCACCACAATGACGCCGCCCTCAGCGTCGGTGCACACGCCCGCTGGGCTGCCAAAGGTGTGCCCCGTCAGACCCCCCAGGGTACCCAGGGGCTGGTGGGCACTGCCAAACAGCCGCACGTCCCCAAACTCCTCGCTCACGGCGAGGCCCCCGTCAGGCCCCGGGCCCACCCAGCAGGGGCCCTGCAGACCCAGCACGGAGGCTGGGGCCAGCGGCTGCAAAGCAGGGCCCAACGTGAAGCTGTGCACGGCCCCAGGCACATAGTCCGTCACCAGGAGGCGGCCAAGGGCGTCCACGGCCAGCCCCCGGGGGGCCAGGAAGGTGCCCACTGTCACCCAGCGGCCTTGTGGGGCTCGAGCAGTGTGCTGGAGCACGTGGACAGCTCCGTGGACGAGGTCGCTGACTGCTACGAGCCCAGCAGCCGTCACAGCCACGTCCTCGGGCACAAAGGTCCCAGCCCCTGGCACGTGGCAGGGCAGGTGGCAGATGGACCGTCCCTCAAGGTCCAGCACATGGACGCAGGGCGCAGCCCCAGCTGTCAGGAAGAGCAGGCCATCCAGGGAGCAGTGCAGGCCCCGGGGCCCGCCTGCAGCCCCTGCGGGCACCGGGATCCGCCCCAGCAGCCGGGGCTGCCAGGAGCGAATGGGCTCTGCAGGCGGGTCCAGCATGAGGTGCAGGCCCCGGGGGGGCAGCTGGCCTGGGGGAGGCCCAGGAGGTGGAGCAGGAGGCCGGAGGGCAGGCAGGTGGGCCAAGATCGCAGACTCAGCCTCTCTGAGCAGAGTTCCTGCTGCTGGGCCAAGTTTGGGGCTGGAAGAGAAATAACACCCCCTCTGCACCAAGGAGCAGCCATGTGGATCCCCCTGTGCCCTTCCAGGCAGCGCTGGCATCCTCCTGTTTTACAGACGAGGAAACTGAGGCACAGGGAAGTGGGAAGCTGATCTGAACTCAGTTCCACCAGGTCCTGAGCTTGGCCTGGTCTGCAAGCCGAGCAGCTAGCCATGTCTCCAGGCCCCCAGGAGATAATTCTGGGAGACACACAACCCACGAATGTCACCGTGGGTTCTGCCCTGGGGCCCGAATGAGCTCAAGGGCACTGGGATGTCCTGAGGTCGGGTGGAGTGGGGGGTGACAGATGAGGAGTGCTTCTCAAATTCATCTGTCCATGGAACCCCTTCTTCCTTCAGGCAGGAAAGTAGCCCTTCTTGGGAGCCCCTGCAGGTTGCCCCCACAAAGTCTGGGACACTTCCGCCCTGCATGTGAGGCAGGGGTCCTTTCATAGGACTCTCCACCTCCCCTGTCCCCAAAGAGGCCGGTGGGAGCATCTCCTACCTGGGGGCAGGCTCCTGGCCCTGTTGTGCCTGCAGTCTCTGTTGTTGGAAACCAGAGCCTGAGAGAGTGGGAGGAGCTGCTGGGGGGAGGGGGCGGGCAGGACGCCGGCTGTGGCCACATTTGAGCAGCGGCCCAAGGGAGCTCTCCGGAGTCATGTCACTCAGCTAGCTGCTAACCCCCCAGGGACTCCACAGTGCTGCTACATTCCTGCCTTGGGGCCTTTGCACTGGCCTCTGGACATTCTTCCTGCTGCCCCTGCATGGCTGGATGCCGCTCATGGTCCACCCAGCCATCCGCTCCCAGGGACCCCCCAGAGCCCGCCACAACCCCCTGTAATGCAATTTGTGGGCTTGTTTCTCAGGTGGTGCCAGCAAATGTCTGTGTGTGCGGCAGCCCTGCCCGACGTCCTCCAGGACTGCAGGGTCGGGACCTCGGGGAAGGTGCTGCACCCCTTCCTGTTGGCTGGGTCACCCACCAGGGTCCAGGTGAGGGGACCATCTTGCCGCCCCCGACTGGGTAGTTTGGGTCCTGTCTCTCTGATCCCATTTCTGCACCTGTGAAGCTGGAGTGATGTCCCCCAGCAGGGCCAGGCTCATGTCTGCCCAGTGGGTGATAAGAAATTGGGGTGCGGTGACACATCAGGGTGCTGACACAAGGCCAAGGAGGTGTGCGTCTCCCTCAGACTCAGGACCTGGGGATTCTCCAGACACTCTTAACTCAGCCCATAGCCCCCTGCAGCCCCTCTAAGAGGTCCCTGGAAGGTGGGGGGGTCAGCCGCCGTCTGCAACCACACTGCTCCCCACCTGGCCGGCCTGCACCCCAGCTCTGGACGCTGCCTCGGAATGCCCCAGGGTGGGGCGGGTGGCCAATGCTATCGGCTGCCCATCGCGGTTAATGGGGCAGCCGCGGGTCCTGCTGTGACTGGCCCCAGCCTGGCTGGCCCAGCGTGGGGAGCCAGGCACAGGCAGGAACTGCCCTCCCTGGGGCCATTCTTGGGTGGGCACAGGGGCGTGGCCAGCTCCCGGGGAGAAAAGTGATTAGCTGGGTGCGAGGGTCCCCAGGGGCCCCTCTCCCCTCCTGCCCCCGGTCCCCGCCCCCCCACCGTGGGAAAGGCCAAGTTGGGCCGCGCTGGGAGGGAGGCAGCGAGCTGTGAAGGCCACCGATGCCTATCACGGCCGCAGGGGCTGGCGGGGGCCCAGCGGAGGCCACGCTGGGTGAGCAGCGCTGGGCCACAGAATGTGGGGCTCCGTTGAACCACAGGCGAGCAGCCTCCAGCGTGAATCTGACATTGGGGCTGCCCTGCCAGACGCGGGGGCTGGGGGCACACTCAGGGGTCCCTGCCCACTATAGACGTATGGACACACAGGCCCGACGCCCACCTCTCCCTGCTCCGACCCCTCCAATGCAAAGCCCCCCACTCTATCCCCAGACTGCAGCCCCCCAGGAAGGACGCAGTCTCCCAGAGGCAGGTCACGGTCTGGAGGTGGATGCCTGGCAGGGAGGCCTGGGACCTGGCCTCCTCAGATGTCTAGACCAGGGACATTTGCCCAGTGAAGGTGTCCCAGTGGTGATGCTGGAGCGGCCCAGACGGGGTGTGTAAAGGTGGTTTAATGTCCACAACTGTGATCAATAAATAGCCGTGACCCTCTGCTCTCCCTGCGTGGCCCCAGAGACAGGCCACAGCCACGGCAGGTGGGGTCCATCCACAGGCATGCTGGACAGGCTCTGGGCCTCAGCCCCTGGGTAGGGGTGGGTGGGGGGCCAGGTGGTGGGCACAGGGTTGGAGAAGGGCTGCTGTCTGTTAAGGACAGAGGTGGCAGTAGGGGCTGTGTTCAGACCTCGGCGCCCGGGGGGCTCTGCAGGCCAGCGACAGCCTCAGGGGGCCAGGAGCCCCCAACCCCGCCATGGGTACCCCAGCTGCTGCCAGGAATGACAGGGTCCTCTGGGGCCTGGAGAGGTAGGCCCGGGGGTGGGACACTGGAGTCAGCCTCACACTTGGTGGTGTGGCCGGAGAAGGGCTCAGGCGCTGTGGGGCCCAGCATGCTGGGGGCTTCAGGGGTCCCCCGGGCCAGTGTGGAGCCCAGCTCTGGCTGCCCCCAGGCCCCCAAGGGGGCCTCAGACCTCTTGGCGGGCGCCCGCTTCACAGAGAGGTCGAGGGGTGTATCCGGGGGCCGCACAGCCCGTTCCAGTGCCTGGTGGATGGTGAGCAGCTCCCGGCGGATCTTGCCCAGCTGCTCCCGCAGAGGCCGTGGGGCCAGGCCCCCCGCAGGCACCAACTGCCCCAGGCGCCGCTCCACTCTGGCGTAGTCGCCAAGGACCCGCGTCAGGTCCTCGCTCACATGCCCAGGGACCCCTAGCGCCAGGCCCAGCGACTGCTGGGGCAGGGGGGCCACAGGGCCAGGGGTCTTGGGGTCCCCTGGCTCCTTGTCTTCAGGCCAGAGCATCATGGAGGGGCAGGTCTGCAGGCTAGGGATAGGAGCCGGTCAGGAGGCTGCGCTGCCCCTGTGCCCCCAGCCCCTGCCCCACTCCCCCCTCATGCCCCCTGTCCAGCCTGTCACCTGGCTTAGGGCCTCAGGACCCCAGAAGGACAGACAGGCTGACTCTCTGGTCTCGGTTTCCCTGCTGTGGCCTGAAGCCCATGTTCCCGGCCACTGAGGGCCCAGCCACCCTGCCCAGCCCTCCTCCCACACTTCCGCCCCCCGCCCCCCGTGACCCAGAGATGCTGACACCCACCTGCTCTGGGAGCTGAACTTCGCCACACTGGAGGGGGCCTTCGGGGGCTCCAGCCTGCTTCCCAGAGGCAGCTTCCTCCTGGGGTCACTCTGGGCAGCCCGCTCCAGCTCCCTATCTTGCCCTGGGTCCCCAGGGGCACCACGGGGCCAGGGCCCGCCCTGCCCAGGTGCCGGCACCTTCAGCAGCCCAGGTGCCAGAGTCCCGGGGGGCCCCTTTGGGGGGGCGGGGGGCTTGGCAGGGGCAGCCTTGCCTGCTGGCAGCCCCAGGGTGTGCTCCAGGAGCAGGGGGTAGAACAGGCGGGGGAACAGGGCAGGGCGCTCTGGGGGCTGTGGGGCAGGGAAGGCCGTGGCTGGGGGCAGCAGCGGGCTGGCTGAGGCCAGGAAGGGCATGTGGGCTGCCGCAGCCAGGGAGGGCCCCAGGTAGGAGAAGAGGCCAGGGCCGAGAGGGTAGTTGACGCCCAGCAGGGACAGGTGAAGGCTCTGGGCCTCAGGGAACTCACCAGGGGTGGGCGGGGGGTAGCAAGGGACCCCACTCCCAGGGCCAGCCACTGCCGCGTCCACCACAGACATGCCCCTCGGGCCCCCACTTGGCCCCGGCTTCCAAGACTCGGCCAGGCGCCTGCCGTGGCCTGCACCTTTCTGGGCGTCCCTCGTCACAGGGGGCGGTGTCCCTGGGGACCCCTCAGCCCCGGGCTTGGGGCCCCCGACACAGCGGCGCAGGGAGAGGACGTCAGCGACAACGAGGTCAGGTGTGGTGGGAGCATCCGGGAGCCACGCTCCTTGGGGCTGGCCTCCGGGGTCCGTGGGATCCGCAGGGCCGTCCGGGGTGGCCGCGCGGGGCCGGGGCACGGCCGGGGCGCGGCGGCAGGCCCAGTCGGGGGAGTCGAGCAGCAGCGAGAGGGAGTCCTTGCAGAGGCTGTACTTCATGTGGTTATAGAGGTGCGACTTCTCCAGGCAGGTGAAGGGGCACTGGAAACACTTGTAGTTGTAGGGCTTGCCCCAGGGCCGCGGGATGTAGTGTGGCTTCTTGGGCTTCCGCGCCCGCGCCCGAGCCCCAGGGCCCACGCGGCACGAGCCTGCCTCTCGGGACATGGCCTGCTAGCGGGCAGGCCCCGGCACCATGGCCACCTGCAGACGGGGGGCCTCGATCAGTGCCGACCCCTCTGACCCTCCCCTTGCCCTTCCATCCACAGCTCCCAGAGCTCCAGGGGCGAGAGTGGGGCACTGCCTCTGCCCTACGGCCTGGGCCGCTGCCCGCCCCTCAGTCCTTCTCCACGCCCGCTCCTAGGGTCGACAGACACAGCAGATAGAACTGCCGGACTGGGGCCGGCCCAGTGGCCAAGTGGTTGGGTTCGTGCGCTCTGCTTCAGCAGCCCAAGGTTTCCCTGGTTCGAGTCCTGGGCGCAGACATGGCACTGCTTGTCAGGCCACGCTGAGGCAGCATCCCACATGCCACAACTAGAAGGACGCACAACTAAAAATACACGACTAAGTACCGGGAGACTTTGGGAGAAAAAGGAAAAAACAGAAAATCTTTAGACCCTTAGACCTGACTCCAGTAAACTTTTCTAGTGTAAGGATGGTCTAGCCAATATTTGCAAGGTGCACTAAAAAAACCGTTCATTGCTTATCTGAAATTTAAGTTTAACTAGGCGTCCCGTATTTTATCAGGTGACACTGCACACATCTCCGCCCGCAGGCTCATGTCTGGGGTGATTCCATCCACGCCCATCGCCCCCACCTGAGTCTCTGCCTACCCGATGCGCATTTGGTAAGGGACTGGAACAAGCCAAGTGCAACCAGGCGCCTTCTCGGGGGACATCAGCCCTGCCTCGTCTTGTTCCCCTCCGGCTGAGATGAGAAGCCAGCAGAAGGCTCTGAGCGGCTGGTTAATGCGCGCACATGTGTGTGTGTGTGTGTGTGTGTGTGTGTGTTCTTGCTCCAGCAGGGTGTCGGGTGGGCACTGGAGGTCTCTGAGGGGGTCACCCTCACGTGGGGCCAGGCCAGGCTGGGGGGCGTGGACATCACAGCACGGCCCCTCGGCACAGCCACCTGCTCAGCCTGGCTCCATCTGGGTGGCTGCCGGCAGGTCAGCAGCTAAGCCTGCAGTGGCCGAGCTCCGCCAAGACCCTCCTCTCCCCACACCCCGCACGCTCACTCAGAACCCGCTCCGCACTCCATCTGGGCCGCCACCTGGGCCGTCCACCGCCCCAGTGCGCATCTTCGTGGGGTGCATGGCGAGTATGCCAGTGCAAGCGTACCAGGCTCCCGACAAGCCCTCACTCAGCACCTGGAGGTCACCCTCTGCACCACTGGGCAGACTCGGAGCAGAGCGGGCCACCAAAACACACAGGGCCATGGCACATGCACACGCCACTCAGAGTGGACACCATCACTGTGCCCATGAACACACTCACAGCACAGCGGGGGGGGGGGGGAGCAGGCACTCGCACACATTCAGGTGCAGTGTGCACACATATGCACACACACTACACACCCAAAGACACACACGGTCACGGACACTTTTGTGGATGTGGACACGTACAACTTGCCCTGCTCCCCAGGGCCCGGGGATGGCAAGTGGG